CTGCTCTGGAGTCTAGATCCTATAGCTATAGAGTCTTATGCTTTCAGCAGTGGAGGTCCCTGGTTCAATTGTCAGTGCATGCCCAGATAGACATCATCACACTTCTGCTGTCTCTTGCAAGCTAGAATGCTAAACTGCCAGAATCCTCAATTGCATCCTGTCCAAACCTTCAACTTTCTATTCCAACATATTTTATAATGCAGAACAGCAATGCCTACGCACAAATTTTGACACACACAATTTGTGGACAGTGTAAAATACTGTTAATCCCTTTTGACCTGAGTGAATAGTCAGTGTTCGGGACCCTGAAGGTGTTCCAGTTGAGTAGAAATTGACAACAGAGTCTGGTATTTTCTTTGATGCAATCTTGTTTATTTACTAGGACTGTACAAAGTCCTGCTTCTCCAAATGCAGGAGGAACCAAAGCCAAAAGGAGAGAATTTCTTTGCTTACAACCCAAGCCTCTTCAGCCAGCACGAGACTCAGAAGCCCCCTCTCTAGATTCTTCCAGGGTCATACACCATGCTTGTCCAAACTGTCCGTCTCTAAGTCTTGCTTCAGTTTGTCTGTTCCTGTGTCTGTACGATGGGGTATACAAACGCCACACTGGGATGAAAGGGGTTAAAGGACACTACTGGGCCCAGGTAGCCCTGCTCCTGCAGACCATGCTTCAGCTGGAGAAGGGTTTGAAAAGGGAGCAACCCAGCTCAGAAGGGGCCAGGCGGGGGAGGAGGACAACCTCTTTGAAGCCTCTTTGAGGGAATAGGACTATATGCCGAGTCTGGTTGGGGTGATGATTTAGTTACCTTTTCTTTTTCTTTTCACCTTATCTGGGGCTGAAAGCTGAGAGAGGAAAGCAGCGGTAGGAGCTGACCCAGGAAGGGTAACTGAGAGGGCACTTTTGGAGGCCGGACACTGTCCCTCCTAGGGCCCTATGTCAGAGCCTGGTGGAGTGGCTTCTCTACCACTGCTCCCACTACAGGAGGGGCTCAAGCCACCTGTACTCATCACTATGCCTCTGAGGCCAGGTCTACACTATAAACTTACATATGTATAACTGCACCCACACCCCTGAGCAGCATGGTTATACTGCCCTAACCCCTGGTGTAGACAGTGCTATGTCAACAGGAGGTCTTCTCCTATCAACATAGCTACTGCCTCTTGCAGAGGTGGATTAACTGTGCCGACCAGAGACATTCGCCTGTGGGGTTGATAGTGTCCTCACTGAAGTGCTACAGCTGCGCCGCTGCAGCATTTTAAGCAGTGGCGGATTTAGAGTTAGTGGGGCCCTGTGCTCAGTTTCATTTTTGGGGCCCCTCCTCGGACCCAGCCAAGAAAAAGAACATTCTCTCTTATCTCCCCCATCCCAGTTTTTCATTCTTTTTTCTTCATCCTCGTCCTATATTATAAGTAATAGGAAATAAATGAAAATAAAGTGAGGTACCTTGATTGCTTTTGTAGTCTAACCTTTTTTTTCCACAGACCACTTGAAAATTGCTAAGGGTCTCGGCAGACCACTTAATGATCTTTCCAAATATTGTTTGTACCGTTCGCTAACTATTGTAATGTGCTTTGGATAGGAGCACTTTATAAAAAAAAACGTTAAAAAACATTGGGGTGTGGGGTCTGGCCAGGAGTTAGGATGTGGGGGGGCTCAGGGTTGGGGTGTGGGGGCTGGCCAGGAGTTAGGGTGTGGGAGGGAGCTCAGGG